GGCTTCTCTGCCTTCTAGCAGACCAACACTTATCACTTATTATCATCACTTATTCTTTAATGTACTGCTGCTGTCAGGATTTACTTCAGTGGAATGCGACAAGAAGCTTGTGTGTGAGTTGGATTTGGGCGTACTAAACTCAGAATCTGTGTTCTCATTACTTCTGAAACAGAGGTTTTTCCCAAGTAATTTGTTTGCTGTCCAGTCAAATGTGCAGTAGCACGGCCACATCTTTAATTCTCTGGCAATTTTTTATCTCCTGAAAAGCAGCAGCACTGGCCCTCCAGATCAGATCCCTGGAAGGCACAACACAAAGCACAGTGGTTATCCTGTACTTGCAAGCCGTGATCTGACAGTGCAGGTACGCATCTTCAGAACTGCCACTGTCGCTTTAGTTGATGGAAATTGAGTTCTGTGGAAAAGAGCTGTTAGGAGTTCACACAGGAACACACGTGAGTACCTGAACTCCCTCGGGTTTGTTTTTAGGCTGGTCCTAGGAACTGGCTTCTTTATGGAACCCTCAGCATAAAAAATGACATGGCTGTAGTAACAGATGATCCTCACTGATTACACTGCACCAGCCACCCCAATGCAGAGCTACTGACAGCTGTTCTAGGGAGTAAGACAAAACTTTAAAAACCATCAAGGCTATAGCAGTTAGCGCTGTCTTCCTTCTTTGGGGAGACAGGAATCCTGCAGACAGAATTCGGGACTGCCGTTGCACGTTCCTCCAAGCGTGTACCTGCTGCCACATAAATGCATCAGCCTTCCCCCACCTTCAGTTCATCATTAAGAGTAGCAGCCGTGGGCACTGCAGCACTTGCAAGCAGTGAAGCCTGAATGCACGGATGACTTTCCAAACAGTGTGGGCTGAGTAAACACTGAGCAGTAAGTATGTCCACTTTTTATCCAGCTGAAATTATGCCACGTTGGAAAGAAAACAAAACAGACGCCAAAGCAGTTTCTGTCAGTGCAAAGAAAAACAAAATTACCGTTTCCATTGTGCTGAGATACTGTGTGTGCATTAAGTAACATTTCTTTCCTGTTGGTCTTGTCACAAGAATGGGGTCTTACCAAGCAAAGCAAAGCAGCAGCCACACTGTTTACCCAGTTTAGTTTATTTAAAAGTACTAAACAGCACTAGGTGGTACAGGCCTAAACACAATGAACTTTCCGCTACTGAGTTTGGCTTAAATATAAAACATTGAAGACATGAAGTAGATGGAAGAAAAAGAAAAACTGCCAAAAACCATCTGAGAGTGCATTACACAAACTTGTAGATTACAGTTCACACGGCACAGACGCAATCCTCCCCTACCATCAACGTGGCAGCACTGCTGCTTTGGCAGTCATGCAGTTGAAGCATTCAGGACCTTCCTCTTGAAGTGTTTCAGCTAAAGTTCATTTTTCTCCATCCTTCCCTCGTACTGCCTTTCAGATCGTTTCCTACGGTAAACATCATCTGCCAGAAAGAGATTTTTCTGTATTAGTGTTCCCCAAGTGTGAGATGGTATTAAATGAATGAAGACTCTGATCTCTTTTTACACTTTTCAATCCAATTTTCTCTTGCAGGCAGCTGAAAATTCAAACCAACACAAATCCTTATTACCACTTAAAAATAGCTCATGTTCTCCCTCCCATGCAGGCTAAAGTTCTTCCCATCAGCCCTGATGAAATGTTTTTCTAGGAAATCTAAGTTTCCAGTGTGATACAATCACTTCTTGTCTACTTTCCCATGAGATTAAGTATAAATACAAATGCCCAAACTAGCTGAAGCCAAAGAGAAATTAAATTACAGGCACAAAGTCAATCCCTGAGGACTGCTAGCATGGCCTCAGTATTTTAAGATTAGGGGTTTGGTTTTTTTGTTTGTTTCGTCGTTGTTCTTGTGGGTTTTGGGTTTTTGTTTGGGTTTTTTGGTTGTTTTTTGTTTTTTTTTCTTCAGTTTTTAAGCACAACACATGAATATACTCACCTTTGTAGTCTTCCTAGTTCTTCCTGCCTCCCCTCACCCTGATCACCCCTAAATATCACCCCTAAAAATCTCCCACTGACAAAAAAGGCATTATCGGTCTTGTACGTTGTCGCTTTGCATGATTTATGCAGCAGCAATAAAGCTAAACTGCACTGTTATTATTGTTGTATGGTATTTAGGCACAGCAATTTTTCTGCAGGAAAGTAAGGCTCAAGCTGAAATGCAATGGCTTCTATACAGATGCTGTGCTTTAGTTTCTAACCTGACTTAATACAGGTATGCCTCAGAAATATTTAACTGAGAAACCTGAGCCTTCAGAAGCGAGCACAAGAAGCAATTTTATTTGCAGTAAGTTTGTCAGCTCTGTAAATTGTATCAAGCTGTTTTATTCTGCAGGAGACTCAACTAGATTGCCTGTGAAACTGGGAATATTCTCATACAGTAGAGCTGATCCTTTTTTGGAAGTACACAAACATTTCTAACAAGGTTTCTTAAAGGAAACCATGCCATATTAAAACCAAACGCTTTAACTTCTAAAACCTAAGTGCCATTAGCCGAGATCTCATAACTCATTTTCATACTTTTTCAATTACCTAATTTAAAAAGTGGTGTTTCCGATGAACCCACACCACCGTTTAAATCCTGACAACCCTTGCAAGTCTTTTTTCAATGTAAAAAATTGTAATTTAGTATTATAAACCCAGGGTTTGGATTTTTTCTGCCCAGGCAGACTCTGGGGTGTCACAGCCTGCACTGAAGAGGGAAGCGACTGACTGAAGCCCTCCAGGTGAAAACCCCCGGTATCTCGTTATTAAGTAGAGCCGCCTCCCCCGTTTTCGCTCCCTGCAGGTGCTGCGGCCCACGGCACCGGACGGGAGCGGGGACTGCTCCGGGGCGGAGGCAGTGATGACTCAGCAGGGACCCGGCCCTCACTTACAGAAGGTCTCCTTGCCAATGCGAACGTTGATCATGAACCACTCCATCGCTCCTCCAAGGAGGAAGAAGAAGGGCAGAAACCTGTAAACGCCAAAGCGCTGCTTCCCGGG